GGCAGAGGTTTACTGAAGGGCCGAAGCAGCCCATGTGGTCAGGGGAGTCTCCTCTTGAGATTTAACTAGTCACATTTGTCAGTGTTGTCCTGCACGCAACTGGGCAAAAAAAAGAAGGCAGGATGGATCAGCTTGTTCTGCATCTTTTTTATTGTTTTCAGGAGAAAGAGGGGACAACACTTATAAAATGACATCAACTCCAGCAATTTTCTTTTGCACTTACAGGCGGCTCCAGTGAGAATAGTGGCTCAGGTCTCTTTGCCCTCTGTACTCTGGATGGTAAGTCCTACCACTGTCCTGGAAGAAAGGCCTGTGGGCTAGACAAGGCCTGACACTAATTCAAAGCAGGTAACCAGGGGCTCAGGGCTTTTGATTTTTGAAAGAAGGTGAAACAGGGCTTCAGAAGCCCGTCCTGGGTCAGGCAAGAGAATTTGACCCAAAGACTCCTTCTGCTGACATATTTTTTATGAAGGCGTGGAGACCTCTATGAAGACAGATTCATGTTTGTGTTCCACTCTCATGGCTGGTCCCCCCTGCCCAGTACTGTCACAGTATATCTGGATAATAGAAAAATGGTAAGTGGGGTTAAGTGTCCAGTATGGATTCAGCAGTCAAGAGACCATGCCTATGCTGTTAGCAGCGAACTCTCACTCTCAGCAACCCCGAGTGTTGAAGGAGTGTGTAGGGCCCAGCATAAGCAAACATATTGCTCCCTTTTAATGTCTTCAAGACAGTATTTTTTTTCTTCCTTCAGGGACGTTGAAACTCATGGAGGGAGCAGACAAGCTACTCTGGTCTGTTCAGGTTGATCACCAGCTGTTTGCTCTGGAAAAGCTGGATGTTACAGTGAGTACCTGAATAGGGCTGGGAGGGATGAAGACAAAAACTTAACATGGCTTTGTATATATGGATTTAGGAAGGGCAGAGTGTGACTCAGCTGAAAAAGACTGGGATTATCTCAGGATGACATAGAGTGCTCCGACTCTGGCGGTATATTCTGCACTCATGTCAGTCTGTCCACCTGCCAGAGGTTGAGCTGTGCTTGCCAGTTAGACCTACTGAGCCTGGTTTGTACTGATCCATTCATAAATTTTTTTCCCCAACTACTCTTTTATCTTATTGCAAAGTTGAATGGTTTTGCACACTCCTAATACCCTAATTGTCTACAAATTCTTATGATTTGCTCTTATGATTGCTATGGAGAAGAGAGATGATCTCAAACTGCAAAATGTCTCGACATGATGTCCAAAAGTCACATTTTGTTCAGACATTAGTGTTCTGTCTGAACAAGCAAGAAAGATTCTTGACTGTCCCTGGGAATAGGTGATGTCTGGCTAATATGCAATCTTCTGGTTTCTGCAGGGCAATGGGCACGAGGAGGTGATTGCCTGTGCGTGGGATGGTCAGACATACATCATTGACCACAATCGGACTGTTGCCAGGTTTCAAGCAGAGGAGAATGTCAGTGCGTTCTGTGCAGGTGGGGAGCCTGACTGCAAAGCCACCCCTCACAGCATTTTTCCCTCAAAGCTACTACTCCTGTCTAGGAGACCTGGAATCCTTTGTCTGTCTGCCGTGGAGAATAATTTCCCTCTGTGTGTACTGCAGAAGGCCCAGCTAGTCTTTCCTCTGGTGGCGTCTGGGAAAAGTAGGGGTGAGAGGAGGTGATGCTGAGGTTTTTCTGTGATGGTTTGGGGGTTTTTTCCTGTCCTTTTCTGGGGTACTACAGGAGTCTCTTGTCTTCCCCACTGCTTTTTGAATTTGCAGACTTCTAAGCTGTTCTCAAGTAGAGATAAGGAGCCCCATGGAACCAGCCCGAGCCTCGGCTTTGCTCAGTCCCCTCTTTCAGACCTGCAAGAAGCAGCTTGCAAATCCCCAAGCTTCCTACAGTTTAGAGACACTTTCTTGGCTTGTCTCAAAGGGATTTTGTATACCCAAGCCCATGTCTCTGCTCAAGTTCTTGCTGTTTTCTGCTAACGGCTTTGGTACCTCATCATGAGACGTTACCTATTTGCTTTCACTGTCCTTTTGGAAGTAGTCAGATCTCCGCATTCTGCTTTCTGCAGGCCTCTATGCATGCAAAGGAGGAAGCAACAGTCCCTGCCTGGTTTATGTCAGCTTCAGCCAGAAGATCTACATCTACTGGGATGTGCAGCTGGAGAGAATGGAGTCCACCAACCTGTTGAAAATCCTGGAGGGTGACCCAGAGTTTGCAAATCTCCTGCAGCAGCTGGGTGTAGGTGAGTGCAAAAGAGTGGAGGGTGTACAGGAAGAAAGAGAGGAAGGGCTGCTGGCAGGTGATGTGCTGGGAACTGGAGTTCCAGGTATTTTTTGCAGAAGAGGCTTTCATAGTGCCTGTTGAGAATCCCAAAGAACTGTTTTTCTCTCTTTCCCATAGATAAAAACGATGTTTCTGCCGTCAGAAATCTGATTCACAAAACCCTCTATTTTCCTGAGAAATATCATCTGAGCAGCCCTTCGCAGTGTCAGGATCCTGCTGGAACAGATTCCTCTGCCCACTTCACTGTCATCCAGGATCCCTTATAACAAGTCATATGGAGTCTTACTACCAGCACAGGCTCTTCTGCAGCTGGAATGGGCATTTAATGAAGATGACTATTCTTTTGCTGTCTCTGTCAAAAGTTCCAAACAGGAAAGGGTGTACAGGCTGCGGAGGGATATTCTTGGCTTGTAGGCTTGAGTGTAGGTGGTGGGTTCATTTTCTGTTAGCAGAGAGAGCTACCAGAACAGAAAGAGTCAAGGGTCTTGCTTGCTGGCCTTCCATTGCCACTTTCCATATTCTTTACTTGCTGAAGTGCTTTATGGGTCACTCTGAAGAAGCACTGAGGACATGGATGGAGAGAATAGCTGAGCTCAGTCTCCATTCTGGCTCCAGTGATTACTTCTGAATTCTCAGCAGGATTACAGTGCAGGAATCGCAGATGGAGGGATTGAATAGGGAGCAGGCAAGGGCCTTCTCTCACACTTAAGTGTGTGTTAAAGTACACCTGTGCATTGATTGCCTTTGCTTTGCCGCTGCTGTTCTAACAAGCAGTTTCTCACAAGTAACTTCCTGTCCTGAGAAACTGGAGACAGGTGTGAGAAGAACCACAACTTGCACTAATAAGATGTGGAAAGGTAACAGCTCCAGCAAACTCCATCTGTACTCGAGAGGCATTGCTTGTCTCCATCTTGGGCAGGGTGATCCCAGAGAAGGCTGTGACTTAACAAAGCAGCTGTGAAGTGGATAGTAAGAGGAATCTGACTTAACCACGGAACTGTGGTGCTGTGAGAGCCTGGCCATTCTACAATAAATATGCCACACTTGCCTCTTGTTGTGGAGAATGTCATGCTGTTTTGAGTCCTACACAACTGAAAGAGATGGACTGGAGGTGAAGTTACACTGGCTGGCTTGAGGAGTCTGGAAAAGGGCGTTGCTCACCGAGGCTGCTCATTTGCAAAGGCCCAGGCACAAACCTTTATGCATGCTGCTGAAGTTGTGCTTTTCCCTATCTTGCTTGCCCCTTGCCTAACTTAGCTTATTAGGATAGTGATGCATATGGATTTTTTTGATTTTTAGCTTTTTGTAGATTTTAGAAGTAGTTGTGTAGTAAATGTAGATTTTAATGTAGCTGTATAATTTGTCACTCTTTAGCACTGTAGTTTACATTTACCCAACGCTATTACCCCATTTCATATCAAACTTTCTAAATTCCTTTAAGCTTGTTTAGACTTCTCTAAAGGCAGGCCTTCATTCTGTTTAAGACCATTTGTACTGTGGCTTGAGCAACAAGGTACACCATAGTCAAAAGAACCTTCAAATCCTTAACCTTGGAGGAGCTCCAAAAGACTGTACGTGCTGTGAAGAAGAGGAAGATGAGGAAGAAGGGGTCTCAGAACCCCTCAATTTCCAGAGGGGCGTGCCGGGAGCAGAACTGGGCAGGATCTAGGGGGCAGATAGATCTGGATTGGATGAATGATACCATAAATACTGGAACCCCTGGACATGTGGCACATCTCTGTACTCCCCATGGTTGAAGGCCTTTATTAAAGAATCTGCTCTCTATCTTTTCTCTACTAATAATTGCCTGGTGAGTAATGTTTTGCTCCCCAGTGATCTTAAGGCATCAATAGGGGTGGCAGGCTCACCTGCTGGTTTGCATCTATTATCTCCTCTCACTTGAGTGATGTTTTACTGGACATGTGCAATGGAGGGAGCTGTCCCTTCTTCACCTTTATGGCAGCCTGAGTCAGAGCACACCTAATTCAGTGATCTGTAGCAAATGGTAGCATTTAAAGATCTTGCAGGCAGTTGAAAACCTGCTGTGCTATGCTCGGCAAAGGGCAGCCCTAATTGGGAGAAAATACTTTGTATAGAGGAAAGGAGTGTTTTGCCCTTGGGTCAAAATGACTGTTGTTGGAGTAGCCAACAGGGCAGGATCTTTACATAAAAAGCATTAGCTATTCTTTGCAGTTTTCATCTGTAGATTTATATAAGCTCTATAGAGGACATACGCTGTCCTCTGTGTTTGGCAGTAGGGAGAGTTGAAACGTGGAGCAGTGAAATGGTATGACCTACTCTGTATCAGCTTGCTTGCTTCTCAGACCACCATATCCTCTGACTCTCTAACTGCAGTGGAAGTTTCTCTCCATTTTAATGACCTCACTGAGAAGCATTTTTAAATGTTCCCCTGTCATACTAAGTGCTTGTGTAAAACTAGACCTTTCAGACAGGAGCTTTCAAGTTGTAATAGAGATTAACAGTGATGTTGAGAGCAGCAGGGCTTGAGCTATGGAGAGCTGCTGTGGAGACCATCTAGTCATGGGTTAAAGCAAGGAGTTGTCCTGAAGCTTTTCAGATCTAGAGTGTAACTTCAACAAATTGTCAGCTCCCGTGATGCTGAGATGTGCAGCAGGCAATCACCATTGTTTCTGGCAGATAGTCAGAGCCTAACAGGATTGCCTACACTCAGAACAGAGAACAACTCAATGCTATCTGTCCGTGCCAAATATAAACCTTTATTAGCAACACCAAATATAAACCTTTATTAGCAACACAAGCGCAAGGGATTTACAAATGGCTGAAACTGTTTTACACAGAACAAACTTGGCTGTACAGGTCAAATGATTTCCAAGAAAAGAAGGTCAAACTGATCCACTGTTGGACTGTTAATTGTTGAGAAAGGGAAAGGGTTACCAAGGGAGAGATGACATTTATCTAAGGACTATCTTTAAAAAAAAACAGGGCAAAACCATTGTATATGTTGGGCAGGGTCATCTGTGCACCCTAACCCTCTTCTTTTGTTGGCCTGAGGATAACATTGCTATGTGCTGTGCAAGCCCAGGCAATGTGCACTGTGGAAAGCAGAGGTGAGAAGATACGGACACTACAAAAACATCCATTCCCCAAAACTCTTCATCTCTTAAAAACCACTGGAGAGGAAAAATACTAACATTTGAGGGTTTCCCTGACAGTTTTATATTGCGTGCAGCACATAATAACTAGCAGATGCATTTTGCTCCTGTGCCCCTTGTGCACATAGGAGAATGAAAAGAAGAATTAGTTGAAGATCTGTACTGTTCCTTGGCCAAAAGATGACTTTCCTTCTTTTTCCTGCCCTAGACTCCAAAGTGCATGATAGACTGGCTATAGCCAATACTTCCTGAAGTGAGTGCTTCAGGCTACTTCCATTGTCAATAATTTCCCATGAAGTCTACATTTTCTCAGGAAAGGGGCCAGTTAAGGCTCTGTCTTTGGACTGAGTTACATTATACTTTCATTGTAACTAATTTCTTGTTTGTCCTTGCCAGCCGACACAAGCCACAGAGTTGGAATTAGAAGTGATTCCTTCCCACACAGCAGAAAATGTTGTTCGCTGTATCCTACTCTGTAGCAGATTGGCATACCCACTGGAGCTGGGAAGCTTTTCAACTGGCAAGATTGGCCAGACACCTTTGTATGTCCCAGTGCCAGCGCACAGCAAGTGAGGAGTCTGACAGCATTCTCAGGCACTGGGGGTGTTTGCAGATAAATGATTCATGGCTTTGGTTGTGATCGTCAACTTACTAGCAAAAAAATAAAGGAAGGGGGTTGCCTTATTTTCCTGAGACATAATAAACCTGCTGGCCATCCCTGCCTTTGTTTTTATGATATTTTTGCTGAATTTAGTTATTTTTTAACTCTTCAGGTGTATCCTGGCATTTGCCAGTGAAGTCTCTTGAAAGGAGGAGTGACCTTCATTTCCATAGGTCACCTTCTAGTAGTGAAAGAAGGAGCAGGTCTCTGGGAATATGTATGATTGGAGCTCCCATTCTGTTCAAAACCAAGTGACCCCAAGCTCCTGGAAATGGTCCTGATTATGGCTTTGGCAGAGTGCATGTTCTCAGGATAGATTTACCTCTTGCACATAGGCCTTGGAAGGGGCCTCGGAACTCCATCTCCCCATTCCTGAGCAGGTTCAGCCATGTGTATCCCACACTTGCTTCTGTTTTAGAAATTTGCTTTGATGGATGTTTCCCTGCAGAGTTTTCCACAACCTTGTGCCCACCCTATTGAAAAGTAACCCAAGTAGGAGCTGACCACCAAGGCGGTTCAAAGAGTTTGTCCCTCAAATGATAACATTCCATTGTCTATATTGAAGGGATGGGCCTCATCATAAGAAAGCCTGTGTTGGACACATACAGAATGTGCCTATGCCCTGCTCTGAGCTGGCAGTTTGTACTGAATTTCTACTTTCCATATGAAAGTATTAATATTTTTTGATCTTCAGTGGAAAAGGCCTTTAGATAGCTCCTTCATTCCCTTTGTCCACCAAAAGCAATAGAGATAACTGGGACTGGGAGTATGGAACTGTATCTGTATAACAGGCTTACCAAAAGAAACTACATTTGAGACAATCTTCAGCCTTGCCAACCAACTCAAAAATTACTTACTGGGCTTCCTGTGCTGGAAGACTTTTAAAAATTACCATGTTTGTAGATGGAGTTGAGTTGGCTTCTTTGAGATGTTGTAAGTCCTGTTTTCTAATCACATTTTTTAAAAGCCGAGACTTCTTTCTTTCACAGTGGAAGCTGAGATTTCCATGTAATGACACAAAAATGCTCATCTTTGGAGAAAACACTGGTTTGGGCTAGAATATATGTGTTCAAGTCAGTAACAGCATGTCATTTAATGCCAAGGAACTTTGGGCAGTAGAAACCCACCAGAAGTTCTGTCAATGAGAAAAGCAGGTACTGACACTGTAGGATTAGACTGTGATTTAGGGAATGAGTTGAAGTGAGGTGTCTGCTATGACATTATTACCTGCAGTTCCCAGTCGTATAAATGTGGTTTTCTGCAAGCTCTGCCTGCAGCAAGGCTTGCTCACGAAATATTCTGAGTTGGAAGGGACCTACAAGGATCACTGAGTCCAACTCTTAAGTGAATCTTAAGATCTAACCCACCACCTTGGCATTATTAGCACCGTGCTGTAACCAACTGAGCTAATCTCAGGGAGATGTGGATGTTCCAGGATAACTGTTAGCAACAGATTCCTCAGTGTCTGGATGAAAGAGACCTTTACTGCGTGGATCTGCATGCTCAGCTAACATGGACAGGAGGAAGGTGAAAAGCATGTCTTCTGCCCTGGAGCTTATTTCAAAGCTGAGAGAAGAACTCTCACGTGCTAATTTGGCGCCTTCTTGGAAACATCCTCTCTGTCGCTGAGAAGTGGCACAGTCTGCATTTATACATCCAGTTGTTAACAACAAAGAGGAAAGGCTTGCAAATTTGTGGCATAACATGCAAGTGTATTAACAACCAGAAAGGAAAGTGTTAAAAGGATTATGTAAAAGGAAAGAATTCCTTTTGGAAGAAGCAAATTTGTTGCTTAGTGTGAGGGGAAGGAAAGGAGGATGCAAAGAAGGATTTATTATGCAGAGAAGAGAGGGACAGGGAGGGCTGGGAATTTTCTAGTGCTGTAGCACGTTAATTCACAGAGGAACCTGAGCTGTTGGTGTTTTGAGAAATGAGGCATGTGAATCACAGAAAGGTTTCAGAAGGACTGGAGAATGTTCTAAATGTGAGCAAAAGCAGTTATCCCAAGACAGACATGTAGGAACAGCGCCTAATGAATTCAGACAGCAGCTAGTGTGCAAGTATCTGCGGGGCTGTGACAGTCAGTAGTCAAAATAGAACTGTCAACTCAAAGTCGTGCCAATTTTCTATAGAATCCCATCCAACACCCTTTTAATCATTGGAAAGATTCCTATTGGCTTCAGTTTAAAGACTCCTACTCACCTACACCCCCATCCTAGCCAGAGCCCAGCTCCAAAATGGACACCCATCAGGCACGGCTCTCACAAGGAAGTCACCAGGATTGAAAGCTATTGGTGACCTTCTCCTTCCTGTGACAGCCACTTGTGAGCACCAGCAAAGCCCAGAAAAAGCTGTCAGACATTTTGGAAGGCAACAGAGACCTCCCTGGGCATCAGCAAAGTCCAGAGATAGCCCTGTGGTGCTCCAGAGGGAAGCAGGACCCTGTGTGGGCCTCAAAGCCTGGCAAAAACCCCAGAACACTCTGGAAGGCAGCAGCGCCCCTTGCAGGCCAAAGCAAAACCCAGCAAAAGCCCCAGGGCACTCTGGAGGGAAATAGGGCACTGACAAAAATCATCAAAGAAGGTTAGGTGGTTGAGGTCACGTGTAGGCTTAGGGATATGGTTAGAGTTGGGGTTAGGAATTAGGTTTAGTTACATGGTTTGGGATTTAGAGTTAGGTTTAAGATTTAGAGTTTAGGTTTAGGGTTGGTTTTAGGGTTAATGGTTAGAGTTTTACAGTTAGGGTGTAGTGGTTTGGTTTAGAGGTTAGGGTTAGCATTAAGTTTTAGGGTTAGAGTTTGGTTTAGGGGTTAAGTTTAATGTTATGTTTAGCCTTATGGGTTAAATTTAGAGTCATTGTTGGGATTTAATGTTTGGGTTAGGGCTAGAGTGAGCTTTAGGGTTATGGTTTAGAGTTTGCCTTTTTTTTAATAAGAATTTTAATGGATATGGTACCTATCAGATAATTAACAGATTATTTGCCTTGTTCCACATGCCAGTTTTAGAGGGCAATGAGAGTTGGAAACTGGGTGAGTTGCTGCACGTAGGAACAGGTGTTTCATCTATCAGTAATAAGATTTTTTTCAGCAGTTGACCCAGGTACCACATAGATTCCAGCTGACACACAGGATGGTTTAGTACAAATCTAAACTGCCCTGGGTTTGAGAAGCCAGTCAGCCATGCAAGTGATACAAATCCAGGAAGAATTACTGGTACTTTGGAAGACAGACTCATCAAGCAGGCATGTTTCCTGACTAAATGAGAGAACTGTTGGTGCCATTCAGGAGATTCATGGAAAGCAGTTCACACAGAAATAATCAGATGCACAACTAGAAGAGTGGAAAAGAAGTCATGGAACAGATCAGAAGATCAGAAAATGCAAGATGTGATGACTAACAGTAAAAGTCTTATGCTCCATGTAGGAGGAGCAGATGCTAGTCATACCAACTAACACTGGTAAGTGAATCCCAAATCATATCAGTTGGGCTGTACTCTGCTGTGCTTAGCATGTGTTAAACTACAGCATACAGCATCTGACTTTGGAAAGAACTAACAGAATAAAAGCAAAAATGCATACACAACTTCTTTGAGAAACACAACACAGACAGTTTGATAAAAAAGGAAGAGAGTCAGCAGTATTTAATCCAGAAGGAGAGGCAAAATTGGGATATTGTGACATTTTAAGGGTGGAAAAAGGTACATTTTGGAGACTGTGGATAGTGAATCAGTAGTCATGAAGCATGGAACAAGCCCTGATCTAGTGCATCTTTCCTAGAGCTAGTAAAGAGTAGACCATGGATTAATAATACAGCTACACTCTAGGATGGAAATTAAAAAAAAAAACACAATTATTAAGTGACTTAATAATCACCCTTGACATCCCAGATGAGTTCACAGTTCTCTGACCTGAGCAGGTACTGCAAGGAAGTCCAGTTCTTGTTTTGTGCAAGAGTACCTAAGTTGGTGGGCTGTGTGATGCCAGGGCTTGAGGCTGATGATGTATCTGTATTCAGTCACCGGATTTCAAGTTGAAAGAAAGGAGGTGACAGAGCAGAAGACTTTTTGCTGTAATTCACTGCAGCACTTAAAGTAAACAACAGGGTCTCTGACGAAGCAGCAGAGGTAACAGAATGTAGCTCTAGCAGCTGGAGTACAGAGAGGAAAGGCCTGATCAGAAGAGCAGGGACTGCAAGTCTGACTACTATGTAAGACACCAAGAGATGATAAGCATTGCCATGCATATAACATAGCTTAGTGCCCAAGGATGCAGTGACAAAGCCCAAGCCCCTGTGTGTACTTTAGGCATCTACACTCAGCATTTTTGCAAAGGTTTCTCAGAATTGAGAACTCTAAAAATGTTCTTGCTGTGGGATTTTCCCAAGAAAATACTTCTGTTCTGCTCTGAGCCAGAAAAAACTAACAAAATCTAGCTTGCCAGAGTACAGGCAAGGAGAACAGGACCCCTCCCACAAAGAAACAGGATGGGTATCCACTCACAGAAGGGAAATATTCATGGCAGTCTTTGGAGGTTTTTGGAGAAATGCCATCCTCTTGTCCACGAAACAACTGGAGATTGTTCACAGAGACTCTCTTGTCTCATGAACAGAGGGTATTGTAGTCATTAAAGGGGTAGGGTAAATTTACAACAGAAACAGAAATTGAAGTGACTAGGGACAAATAGAAAAGCAAGAACAAAATGCCCACTCGGCACATTGGGACAAGCAAGAGGGTCCACTGAAAAGAGGGACATCTCTGAAGTTGAGGCACTCACAGTAACAACAGCTTCCAGCACCCACTTGCCTTTTTCTCACTCCCCAGTGAATGCCTCAGCCTAGAACTCAGCAAGGTTAGGGGCATGTGAGCCTCGCCCTCATCTCTCTTTCATGGCAGCAAGTCTCCTCAGCCCCAGACATGGGGAACACAGCTAGTCACTGAGCAGGCTCTTCAGAGGCATGTAGAAAAGGCAGCTCTTGACTCAGTGCTTTAAATCTCAGGACTCCGTCCTCCAAGTCGATGCAACACTAAAGAAGGGGAGAGCCAGTTACTTGCTGGACATTTCAGATCACATATCTCATGATGTCTATGACTGGGGAAAACCTGCAACACCACTTTGGTTTTAGAGAGACCTTAGTTTCCCTTTGTGTTCTCCATGCCTTCTCCTTGGTCCTGTTTCCTACAATGGATTCCTCTCCAAACCCTTCACAGGGCCATTCCGCTCCCTTCTTCCTATGATTCCCTCTGAACTGATGTCCTCACACCACTTAGCCGTTCAGCCCAATGCTCTTCCTGTTTTATGAGTCTGACATGTGGCTATAAATATGTGACATGCTGGAGCCAGGTTGCTGCAGACATATTCTGAGCCACCCAGGAATCAGGCTCAGCAGAGCATTGACCCTGAGCCAAGCTGATAAAAGGAGAGGACGCTTTCCATTCATGGCCAGCTAGTGTTGGATACTGAATATGATTACACAGCTTCATTTGGCTTAAAGCAAAAGCAGAGCTTGTTCACATCTGCCTTCAGAAGGTGACACATATCTCATGACAGAGTTAGTGTATTGCCTTTTCTTGTCTCTTCTTCAGTTTCTTCTTCCTGTTTGCAACTTGTATGGTCAGGAATATAAAGAATGGGAGATGTTATAGTATCCTATTGTGAGTTTCCTTTCTTAAAACCCTTAAGAGGGAGTGGAAAGGAATCAGTGACTTGGCACATACTGCAGCCAGTCAGGCAGCTGTGTGACAAGCATTGCCCTGAAAGATCTGGATGTAAGTATTTCAGATGCTTACAGCAATCAGACCTTGGAGAACTTCTTGAGAGGAGCCCTCCAATAAGCAAGGAGTTGTTCCTTACCTTGAGAGACCACAAAGTCTGGAGACCAATGCAAAACTCCAGCATTTCATCATCTGAGAAGAGAGAAGACACCAATCAGGCTTAAAATTATATAATACTACCCATCTAGAGAAAGAGTGTTTCTCCTGTAAGAGGATATGGAATAGAAGAATATCTGATTCATAAACTTATGTGGTTATGGTCTCTTCAGTATAAAGTAGATAAAAAAATAATGAGGAAAATGATGAGTTAAACACACAAACACTAACAAGCAGATGGTAACAGTGACAATAATAAATCAGCACTCTTCTGGCACTGACTGATAAGCCATTAGAGGAGCTATTTATGCACAGTCCTGAAGATGGTCAAAATTAACTTTGTTGCTGATAAGAGGAGGAAACCATGATTATCTTGACTATTATGAGATATTTGAGTGGGGGCGTGGGATTGTTTGAAACTTAATATGAAATGTCAGAAGGGGCTTGTGGGATCTCATAAAACTTACTGTGGGTTGTGTAAGGAAAGGACCAAAGGCAGGGAATGGCAAGCAGCAGGGTGAATCAGGGAAGAACACTCATGGAAAAATGGAGAGGAGAGGGGATAAGGGGGCAGTCACATGCAATCAGGCAGTTGGTCAGTTCACTTGTCTGACCAAACCCTGCACGTAATGGCTGCAATTTATCTGATCTTATTAGATAATGTTATTAAGTAAATTTTTCTGTGTAACTTCTCTATCCTACATTTGACTGCTGGAAGTCTTCAGTGTCAGCAAGTGTAGAACATGCCATGGGTTAAAGGGTAAATAGCTGTAGATGTCACTAACTTCAGGGACTGGCAACGGAGGTGCCAGTAACTGAAGGGATTACAGGCCATAGGGCTCATAGGTGTGTGTCAGCAACTGGAGAAAAGGACGTAACTCACAGGTGCCAGCAACCAGAGACACCAGTGTGCAAGAGAAGCCTGGGTGCCATAGAGTTTATACATCTGAGTGCCAGCAATGGAGGGATTACGATGTGTGCTGCAAGGTCTGAGTTCCAGTAACTGAATAAAGACTGTGGATCACAGAGCTTGTAGGTCTTGGTACCAACAACTGGAGCACTCAGCATGCAAGAGATCTCTGGCTACCTGCTCTGACTGGGGTCACAAGGGCCTTGGGTTTATAAGTCAGCAATTGAAGAGGACAGGGCACGACTATGAGAGATCTAAATGCCACTAACTAGAAAGACTTGGGTGTGTTTATGTTTTCCCGATGAATTTGATCCTATGAGGTTGTGGCTTTGTACTCAAGGGTCTGGGTCAGTGGCTAGGTAGGGGGCCTATGGTCCCGACATGGATATAAAACAGACCTAGAAGCTGTGCTGTTATTCGAAGACTCTGTGAATATAAGCGTGCTTGTGAATCTAGAGAATGAAGATCTGTGAACTTCTGCTGGTGAACTCCAATCCTGGTCAGCTGGAGAGGAGGACCAGGGCTAGGCTGTCAGTGCTGGTATTTATGTGCCTACTGGTAAAGGCACTACTCTGCATGTGGTGATCTGTGTGGCTGGCCTTGTCTCTGTCCTTTCTCTATGTGCCTCTTTGGAATATACCTTCAGCCTTGCTACTACCTCAACCTGCCACTAAGAACATGCATTGGACTGGGTGGGAGTGACCTCCTCCATCTTAGAGTTGCCCATCTGGACTTGAGTGGCAGCTAAGGAGGAATTTCCAGGTCCTGGAGTCTGCAGGAATCAGGAGCTACTAGTAATATCATTAACACTTCCCATGTCTCCAGAATACCAGCTTGCCCTGTAACAAGTGACTGTAATTTATAATTTATTTATAATGACATAAGCAAGAGCACTGTGTGTACAGGGAGGTATAAGACACAAGGGTAGCAATTCTGCTCCTTCCAGGCAGACATCTCCACATCCCAGCAAAATGGATACATGCTACTGGGCTAAATTCACCTCTGATGGTACTAATACAGATTCTCCATAAAGGACAAGAACTAGTACAGGGAAAAACAGAAGAGAAGAGTGAGCTTGAGTGTATAAGAGGAGGAAGCTCTTTCTAGATGACTAGGAACGTGGAAAGAATGGGAATGAAAAGGGGGAGCAAGGAAGGTCTTGGAAGATGAATAGTACTCATCAAAGATGAGGAAACAGATGAAGGCAAGAGAGTAAAGCTGGAAGATTAATAGGGATAAAGAACAAGGGGAAAAAAAGACAACTAAGTTGTTTTCAGCATATACACAGCTTGATGTGAATGTGGAACATGCAGCCTTTCTGCTGTTTGATGGGTGTGCCTCAGCGTCCGCTGAGGTACTGTGGCTTGGGTACTATGGCTCCTTCCTTCAAAGGGTCCTGCTTCAGGACACTGAGGGAGACTCAGCACTCCGTGGTTACCAGGTTCTTTCAGGGTGCTCCCTGCAGCGGAAGCAGATGAGTACACAGAGAAACACTCTGGGGAATAAGCTGTACCCTCTGTTGCCTTCTCTGATGACTTTCGGCCAGAGATACAAGTGCCCATTCAATAGAACATAGGGCACCAGAGGACTAATCAAGCCTTCTGCATAATTTTAAGAAACATCCATTTTATAATGTAAATGAGAATTTTCCACATCCTTTTTTAAGACCAAAAAGCACGTAATTTCTCCCCACTTTCTGTGTCTTCTCTCTTCTCTGTACCCTTCCTATGCCCTTTGCATTTGGTTAGATTGAAGGTATTCACAGTACATAATGATGTTGGCCAGCAGTGGAAGCGACCACATCACCAACCTGCTACCATGTTACGCTCTTCTTAAAGGTCCTTCTAAATGCCCTTGACAGGGCAAGAGGGACAGAGGAAAAATAAGGGAGATGAGGGGCTGACACTCTCACCTACAACCAGTGCCGAACACAACACTGTCTCCGGGCCAAATTGCAACTCCACATGTTCTACTCGGCCAACAACGCTGGGGATAGGAAGAGAGAGGTCTCCACAGTCCATGGCAGACACTTCTTCCAGCCTGTGGGACACAAGAAGTGTTATTGCCTCAAGTGGAGGAAGAGTAGGAAAAACAGGACTTCCCACTGACAGTAGTTCTTCTTGTTCTCATTGGGAATAGGCCCACAAGAGGAGGAATCTCTTTCACACAGTATGTCTGGAGGCAGATTCAATAAGCAAAACCTCACCACTAACCATCAGCTGGGCAGCTTTGCCTTGCGCTACACACAGACAGAATGACACAGCTCTGCCTCCCAGTCTGGGGTCTTCACACAACTTTGCCATTGCTCCTGGTGCCTTGCCCTGTATCCCACCTTCTGCACCTTCTCCTAAACAGCCGTGTGCACATGCAAAGCTGCTAGTAATTATCATAGGGAGTGGGAATCAAGGGTGCCCAGGTTCTTGCCATAGGTTTTCTTTTAGTCATCTCTCCTCTTCTACTGTGCAAAGACTTACCCTAGCTGGTTTAAACAGCTCTTGGAGATGAGGTTCGGTAGACACCCAGTGTTAACAGTCGCTTTCAATACCTGACCTTGGCACTAGAAAAAACAACAACAGATGATTACTGTGGGCTCAAAATGGGCATACTCGGTCCTCTAACTTTCTGAGCAACAAAGCCAAAGATGTGGTGTTTTAGGCAGTAGTCAGAAGGTAGGAAACTTATCCAAGACAATGGTGGTCTCCACAGTGCTCTGCAAACCTCTGTCAAAGACTTCTTTTTGAATTTGTCTTCTTTCATTTGTATTTGATTGCCCAGACATTTATCTGTTTTTAGGGACTTTACCTTAAGAGTGTTCCTGCCAAGAGATGCATAATTAGTGAATTTGTTCAGAAAACCCCCATGGATTTTATTAGCAGAGCAATAGTTGATATGACAAAAGCTTCTAAAGGAATACAGGCATGTGCTACAGCCTTTGTCATTTCTCTATTTCTTCTGGTGTTGCAGGTAACAATTTTCAAGGGCTAGACATTTATTTTCAGTTGAAGAGCTTCCAGAGGGAGAAGTCGGAAACAGAAGCAGCCAGCACATATATCTCTGAGATGAGCTGACAAATTCAAATGATTCCTGAATGCAAGACACAACCTAATCAGAAGGTATTTATTTTGTATAGGGCTTACATTATGCTCCTATATAGCTCTTCAAGGATATATGACATGATATTATAACTACAATAGTCACAGCTGGTGTCATTTAGCAAAGTGAGAGACTGGATGCCTTGCACCCCAGTCACCTGAGCTTGATCTTACTGGAATAATCCCCAATGCCTTGCTCACTTCATTTCTTCACCCCTTTGCACTTGAAAGGGAAAAGGAAATGTGTTTGCCATATGTCTTCTGCCCCCTCTGCACAGAGGTCCTTAATGGCAGGCCAGAGGTGATGAAGTAACAGCAGGTCTCACATATGTTAGAGGTCTGAAAAAATAGGGTTATCAAGGACGTTGATAAGAATTATGTTCAGGGAAAAAAAGGAGGAGCAGGACTTAGTAAAGGAATTGCAAAAGATGGGGTAACAACCTGTCTCTAGTGCCTAATACCCATTCTTGATGCCCTAGTTCTTCAAGGCTCTGTCTTGCACCAACACCCACAAAAAGCCAGCCACAAAGCTTCCCTTTAGAGAGGCTCTTTTTTTCCCCTACTATCATTTGTGTTCTTCCTGTGATTCTCTCTCTTCCATTCACTATGGTGCTCTGTGCCATCAGTCACTCAGAAGCAGCAACAGACCTCCCACTGCTCCTCTACCCTTATGCTCATTCCTGACAAGGTTAAATGCAGAACACCTTAAGCAGACCAGCATGGCTATGAGGTACTCAGTGCAGCACCAGTAGGGTCAAGGAAGATGTTTCAATTTCATGATTTCTTAACTAAATCTGTTTCTGACTTAATTATCACAGAGAGCTACATTATTTCTAAGATTTCCAAGAGTTCCAGTATTTCCAAGATTCCATTTTCAAAAATGAACTATTTATGAGCAGTTATAAAAAGAAAGAACAAAATATCTCTTGTGAGAAATACTGGAATCCTGCAAACAGACACAGTATCACTAGGACCCCTTTCAGCCCAAATAATTTTGTGATTCTATGACAAAATGCCTCCCTTCTGATTTTAGAGCTCTGCAATGTCTGTGCTGTCTGGTCCTCACTGATGTATCAGCCCTGCCTGCGAGGACTGTGGCCAGACTGAGCAGAGAGGTAAGATAAAAGCACAGAGTGCAGATGTGTGCTAAATGTCTGTCTCCTCATCCTCTCTACTGTGCTTCACAGAAGAGGCTTTCCTGTGCCTCCTCACTACCTAAGTGGGTATATTGACCATGAGTCTCAGGTCGTGTGTGCCACCACATTAGCGCAGGCTGCAACCTGCCAACACTGTCCAGCTGAAACAGCTCTTCCTCAGTAACAGGCATGGATTCTACTGGGAAAGCATTAACCATCCCTCTGGCTCACAGAAGCCAACTATTCATTGCCCAGCTGCAGAAAAAGCATTGTATCAGCTTCTCAGAAACAGAATACCTGAAGCATGGATAGCAGTTGCTAAGGAATCACTTTGGGAGCAGGCTGACCTGAGATGCATGAGCTGTTGTTGTTATAATAAGCCTAAACTCTATCACTAGGCAGATTCCTGAGTTTTGTTTCAGAGCAGGCTGGGAAAGTCGCAAGTTAGAAACTTGCTAGGATATAACAGGACAGTGATTATTCTGTAAAAAATGACATTTAATCTCATTCAGTGTAAACAGCCCAGCACAGTTATCAGTTCCAGCAGCATCACAAAAGTTATCCATTTTCAAATTACACCACTAACTATTTGTCCAGAGAACTCGCCAGGAGCCTGAGGAAAGTCCTCCATCCAGCTTACCACAAATACAACACAGTTGAGGTAAGGACTACACAGGCAGCTGATGAGAACTGCAAGCCTTCTTGGCCTAAGAGGACTTTTCATCACATTACCCACTCTCATCTCTGTTCCAGAATTTTCAGTTTGTTGCTACCAGTCACCATTAGTCTTTATCTAAATGTCAGTTATGGGGATTTCCAAGAAAGAGGGGAAAGAGAATCAGTAAGGATCACCATTTATAAAGAACTGTGTGTTCTCAAATAATGTAAGTTCCAAAGTCAAGAAGCTGCTTTAATAAACAAAAAGCTGATTAACCTCAGGTTGCTTTGGCATAGAGGAAAAGTGGCCTGGGACAGCACTGGAATCTTTCAGCATCTATTTCCAAGCCAACAAGAGACAAGCCCCACAAGAAAAAAATAACAGCTTGATTCTGTGATGCAGCTCCATTGTGATAAGCTTTCCAAAGTGCTTTGCAAAAGCTGTCACAAAAAAGGACAATTCTGCTAAAATACCATGTGGGCAAGCCACCTAAGTAAATAGGAGGACTCTGCAGTACAACTCTTAAAGACTGGCTCTGTCTCTGATTTCTGAGACTTAAAAAGGCCTTAGGCAGAGGGCAACTATAACCTGTTGGAGTGAAAACACTTCTTGCCTGAATCTCCCTGTAGCACTGAAGTCTACAGATATTTGGACTTATTCCCCAGGCAAGTTCAATTCCAAGTCAGTTAATGCATTTATTAGCACTTTGAAATTTTCAGCATATTTGTCTGTGTGTAAACGGCAGCTTTGTGCTGGTAGACTATCTTTTCTCAGGATGTGCTGTCAGGGAAAAAAGACTTCACTGGGGTCGTGTTCCATTTCTGATAAAAACTGCACCATAATCAAGCAGTTCTCCAAAAGGTACCAGCTCACCTCTCTGGTTAAAATGAACTGGCAGCCCGAGTCCTATTTCCTGCCACAGTTCTGTTACTGACAGGAGAGGCTTTTTGAAGTTCACAAATGAGAACATCAAAAGCAACAAGACTAAAAAGAAGGGGAGGAGAGCTTCCCTTCCTTCAGTGCAAGAAGATTAAGTGTGACAAACAGTGACTGGCTCTTAAGAAGGGCAGAAGAAGAGAGAAATGCCTGTGCAGAATTCAGGGAGTGTTAGACTTATTTCCTTGACTGTGATGTTCTTTAACCCTCCTCTGTGAGGGAAAATAAAATGTGTGTGACAGCTGGGGTCCAGTCCATTAGAAACACAAACGACCCACTAGTGGACCCTGCTGCTGACTTAACTGCTGCCCCTGGGATACAACACCTGTGCATGCTTGTCCTTGCTCAATGTACGTGCCTGACAAAAACTCCCACACTTTGTCACTGAATTTCCTCATACAGAACAATAAAGAGTGATTATTAAAGAGAAAGAAACAACTTCATTTGCTCAAAACCAGGCTCCAGGTATTTGGAAAAATTATATTAAAAAGCCATTTATCCTACTAGTCTGTTCCCAAGTATGGTTATGTTAACCCAGCTACATTAAGGTCTAAAACCCAGGGTAAGCAATGCCTGACTGCAACAGTAAAGGCTGCAAAACAAAGTAGACAGTTTGTTTGCTTGCAACCTTTCAGAAACTTGCTACCATGCTGTGTTCATATTGTAATTTATTGTGCCGACTGAATTTTAAAAGGTGTATGTGTTTTTCTTGTCTAACACGGGAGAGATGTAGTCTTTACTCTCTAACACGGGAGATGTTTTTAGGACAGGTAACTGAATTAAAAACAGCTTTAAAATGTATTTTGTATCCACCCTGTACCAGGTCTATATCTTGATGAGTCTCATATCTGCATATTACTGAGCAGCTTCAACCATGCAGCCCTGTTTCACGGAGTACAGCTTTTGGATGTGCTTTCTGAAGTACAGGGGTCAGGGATTAGTGTCCTCTGCTGTATAGGAAGGTATAAGAAGAAAAGGGAGCTAAAAATACTGCTTCCATCAAGAGATGCAGCAATGCTAATTCGGAGCACATTTAGCCACTTTCTGAGGAGGTCCTCTGACACCCAAGGGAATCAGACCAGACTGGATCCAGCAAGTGTAAATCAACTAGGGTCACTTGTCTTTAAGTGATAAGGAGACATTCCTTGCTTCTGTATGCAGTTATGAAATACCTCCTATCATAGGAAAACTGGCCTTCAAAGGAAGGAGATGTGATTAAGGTAATTTATCCTCAAATATGGACAACTAGAATGCATGTAGCAGAAAGGCTTTCCTCTGGCTTTGGAAGACCTGAATCCAGACTCTAGGAGAGGCCATGCATGAAATCTGCTCTCTCTGGCTGCAGCTGGCATTGCAATTTATAACTCAGCACGGCCCTTAGGAGGGGGGCAGCTGGAGCTCTGAGCTTTTGCCATCACTGTGAAATCAGCAGCACCGTGTTGTTGCCTTACCTGGCACTGTATTAGCAGGGGTGAAGTCTCTTTTCTCCTGTTCTCTCCCTTTTCCATCTTTTCATCCTGGTCTTTTGCCAGCGGAGATTGAACCCTTGCCGACTGAACCCGTAGCTTGTTCAGATTGCCTTCCAAGAGGCGCCGCTGGACCACACTGTGTGGCTGCTGTCTCCATCACAAAGAAAGAGAAATCCCAGCTAAGAATGGAGCTAAGGACAAGGACATTTGCTAGCTCAGGGAAGCAGGTTGCAAATGCCTAACCCAACTGGTCATTCTGATGAAAGACAGGATTATCCCAAAAAACTTTCTTTAAATCCCAAGATTTTTTTCTGTAGCCACTAAGGTGATGGTAAAGTGTTGGGATGTCTGTGACAGGCAGATCTCTGGAATGCAGCTACTGAAGGAGAAAAACATGCCCTATGCATGGTCTCCCCACACATATCTGTTCCTTCAGCTAAACACGCACTGGGCAGTCTCATACCTGTTCAGGTTCTGCCATACACTACTGAGTATGTGTGTTGACAACCAACCAGGCACATTCACACCTTCTAATGTGGGAGGGGACAGGGAATGCAGCATGTGTGTGATGTGTACCTGTGGGTAAGAAGGCAGGACTCCAGAAATTTTAGGTGTACAAGCAATTATTTGTAGTGAAGCAGAAAGCTTCCCCTGAAGAGGAAACTAAAACTAGCTTTTAATGTTCTTTGTAGTCTGTCTCTGCTCCCCCACATCAGATGCTCTAGCTTTTGTCCAGTATTGATCCAGCACTGCTACTGAATCAACAGTGGGCAATCAACAGCAACCAATGAAATAGGCCTGTTGGAGGAAGCTTTGTCCATTCTCCACGTACTTGGCCCCATGGCCCTTCTCCAGGAGAGCAGCTGCTCAGAGCTGACCATGGCATTCTCATTAACAACTGCCTAAGTGAAGAAAGGTAAAGAATCTAAAGGGGTTAATGTGCTACAGCATAAACTGCTGCTTTTATCTTTCTAAAAAAAAAATGAAAATATTAAAAGATAAATTAAATCCTAGATGGTGCAGCAGCTTGATGTAGGGTCTTGTCAATGTGCAGGCCAAACACATGAATTACACCAGACCTGCCAACGAGCTGGGTACCCACAGTGTACATGTGCTTCGGACCAGCTTCATGCTTGGTCAGAGGGCTGAGGCCAGGGGAGTGTGTAAATTGCCACTTGAAGTACCCTGATCGGTAATATTTGCCAAATGATTGGAGCAGGACAGATGTTACTGGCTTTTTGGTCACACTCAGCATTGCTCTTTGCAAGATGCCAAGTCCCTCATGCCTCTGTTTCCTTGTCACTCAAGGGGTGAGGGTCAGATCATTCACATGCTGCGTGGGAGGCACTGCAGTAGTTGAAAAAGTGAGGTAAAAATATCCCTCTGTTCCCAGTCTTTTCCCAGCCTACTGTGCCGGCCCACAGCACAGCTGGCTGTAGTACTTAACTCCCTAAGTACTCTGAGCACAGTGCCAGTTTGCCTGCCAGCTAACATCTGGGCCATGGGAAAAGGGCAGGGAACAAACAGCAGGTCTTCGAATTCCCATCCTCCCTCCTATCTCTCACAATCTGATGTGCAAAGGACTTTTCCCTCTCCCTGCAACCTTTCCCACAGAAAGAGCAAGCCAATTGCAGCTGCCACCTCTGTCCCCATCTTGTCACTCAGGCTGGGAAATGGCCAAGAGCTGATGGGGATTTGCTGGGATGTGGAGTCATCTGATCAAGACCAGACTCCTGGGGCCCTTCCTGTCTTCTCTCTCACCAGTAAGATGGACAACGGGAGACTGTTGTCTCTCTTGGGCTGGTCAGAAACAATTAGATTTAGAGGATGGTGAGGGAGGACCTGAAGGATGTTTTGGCCAGCAGCTGGAAAGGAGGCCCTCTTAGGGCACTTAAAAGGGTCAAAACAGGTTCCCAGGGCAACTTAGGGAAGGTTCAGGCTCTCTGGTATGAAATCTCAAGGCCTTGCTATGATTAGTGACATTGTATGAGCTGGGGAACTTGATTTTTGGGAGGCGAGAAGCCAGATCTTCAGACCTTCTTGGTACTTTCAGAATATGTAGCTCATGTAGCTACTTATTTTATTTTGGCATTAGGAAAAAATAAATCATGCTTGTTTCTACAAAGCTGGAAATGTGAGATCTCCATAGAAATGTATAATTACTCATTGCTGGAGACATGATGGGCCCATCAAATCCCAGGCACTGCTGGATGCATTGCATAAGCTGAATTCACATCCAGAATACGAGAGAGGAGTGGCAAAAAGTAACAGCCTGTGACTGCAAAAGAAAGCACATATTTAGTTTTAAATTACACGAGGCCTTACTCTAATTTTAGGACACCTGGGATGGCCATAGCTGGAGACTCTGGTACTGTCAGTGGAGACCTGTTTTGGGGAATCAATTAAACTCTCCTCCTAGTGTAAGTGCTATAGGACTCTGGGGTGTTTTGCAGCACTTCCTACTGCTGCTTTGTTTTCAGTACATTCCTTTTTTGTATTCCTGTCCTCCAGGAGAGATCCATATAAATTTAGGAAACATAGATGGGGTTTTCATAGGGCTGGAGAAATGCCAGGAGATATATGCCAAAAGCATATTTTGGACTCTAACTTGCAGTCCCCAAAATGTCACAGCAATGTCAGAGTATCTCATCAAGTTGCAGGAACTTCTGAATTACTCAGGATCTCCTCTTGCTCCAAGGTAAAGCAGAAATGGAGGTACCGCACGGGTCCCATGTATGCCTACTTTGCACAGAGGCCACACTTTATTTTGTGCCCTCTAATGCCAGAGCAAAACCTCCATGTCTGAAAAGATGTTATGCCTTATTCACTGCCCCCTAGCTCCATGGTAAAAATGTTTCAGCTATTCTGTCATGGACCAAACATGAAGTATGCAGTGTTTTGCATGCTATCTACGCACAGGGAATTCTCCCGCTTAGAATGGTTAATTCAACCAGGAGAGCTGCTCATGGCAAGTGATTTGGACAAGGACTGTCTTGCTCAAGCGAGCATTTGTGGCTTCAGGGTGCCAGTTGTCACTCTGGGGCGTGGTGTGACAAGAGTCAATTCCAAAGCAAAGCAGGTAGACATGTTTCTCTCTGCCTTGGTGACTGGGTCAACAAACACACACTAAAACACTCAGAAGTGGCTTCTTCCCATACCCTGCCAAAAGCTGTCCAGGGACAGGCCCGGGGTATGTCTGGCTATGCCCTCCTGAGGGGATGTTTGAGCTGCAGTGCTGCAGGGCTTGTGCCTGCCTGCCTGTGCTGCCAGCCTGAGCGGAGCCCTCCAGGCTCCAGCATGGCCAGACCTCCTTCCCTGTGGGGAGGAGAGTCCCTGTTTCTTGCTAAGACAGTGCTTATGTGATTTCCCTCTTGTACTTCAGCAGTGACAGTGTGCAGGGCCAGAGGGACACTCAAGACCAGTCCCTGCTGACGTCCATGTGTGTGCAGCTGTGAAGGGCTGGCAGAACACAAGGCGACAGCTCAGGGTGACTTTGAAGAGTCACCCTTTACCCTGCTGAGCCACAGACTCTCAGCAGCTGCTGGGGTGCGTGTGGGAGACAGGAGGGTGTGCCAGCATGGGAATGTGGCACTGACCCCTCGTCTCCGCAGGGCAGAGCCGCTGCACCTGAAGGGTTCAGCAAGGAGAATAGCTCCCACTCAGGCCCAGTGCCAGGGACCCTGCCCATCCCATACACACGTGCTCCTGTGTGCCTTGCTTCCAGCAGCCTTGGAGCCTGCCATGGGAGCCAGGAAATGATGGGAAGCACACATACATGAGCATCTGCGGTGTTGCGATTGTCTGAGGATACAGAGGGAAGCACAGACTGCAAGGAGGGGCAAGATCTTTTATGACACCCACAGGCACAGATGGAATAAGTGATTGTGCCCCCATCACAACTAGACCTAGGCACTCTTTCAGGAAAATAGTTTAGACCTGTGCATCCTTGAGCAGCTAAACTCCACAGCAGAAAGAAGTTAGACAGCAAAACTGCCAGAGCAAGGGGAGTATGTGTGCAGTTGAGCCAGCAAGAGATCCCATGGGGAAACTGCTTCTAGCCTTGGGGAAGTCCATCCAGACCACAGACTGCCCAGGCTCCTGGAACAGGTCTCCCTTCCTGATGCTTCCTGCTCCATGTCTCCACAGGAAGATGCCCACAGGCCACACTCCCATGCTACCTCCCCAAAGGTGTCATCCACAAGTGCCAGGCACTGCATCTGCCTGTGTGCCTGGTTAGTGGTCCTGCCCTGTGCTTGCCCCTCCACAAATCCAGAGAGTGAGGGGAGAGAAAATAATGCAAAAAGGTGACAAGGTCAAACATAAGCCTCTCAGAGTTTTATGAACTGTGCTTCCTCCCTGCTGAGTCTGGAAAGCAGTCTGCATTTGAGCTGGATCATGCAGGAATAGATGGGGGTTTTCAGATATGTTCCACATGGAAATATACATGTCACATGAACATATATAGGTACTGGTGAGTAGAAACTTGGATACTGGAGAGTCCTTCCAGTCCATATCTGCCTGCCTCTGTGAGGAGTTTGGTTCCTATGGGGATGTATGAGAGTATAGATGCAAATAAATGAGTGATTGACTCTTTCCCTCCACCCTGACCTGCTTCTAGATCATCCTGAAGGGAAGTTTCATCTTTGCCCATGATTCTTTCAGAAACCTGACAGAAGTTCCCAACTGGGATGAAAGCTATTAGGAGGACTCCCTCCCAAATGGGGTCCCACTGGACTCACCAGATCCTTGGAAGTGCCAAGCCTTGTCAAGCCATCCAGGGGCAGCAGATCAGCAGAGTCCTTGTGCACAAACTGGGTGGCCTGTTTAAGGCGCCTCTTCTGTTGCAGAATAGCTTTGTTCCTCAGCTCCATCTCACACTCCTGTCGCTCCAGCTCAGGAGTACCCTCACTCTGCTTTTCCTCCTGGTCTCCTTGCCCCAGTGGCAGGTGGCAGCTCTTCTTTGTGCTCATGGTGAAGATTCAGACAGAACCGGTCCTTTTTGTTATGCTGGGGTGTTCCCTGAACTCGTCTCCTGACGTTTGCCCTCTGGAGGCTGACTCAGTCTCTGATCTCCTTTCCCTTCCCCACAGCTCTCCTTCTCTTGCTTTCTCTGACTTTCTTCCTGCTCTTAGTTATAACTCACCCATCTCTGAAGTGTCTCCGTGCCGGTTTCTCTGTCTGTCCCCTCCAGTCCCCCGTGTCCCTCTGCTCCCCGCCTCTTCCTCTCCCTCACTTCTCCTGCCCTGACTGCAGCTCTACCTCCTCCAGTCCGTGGGTCCCTGTCGTAACAGAAAAAGCCCCGCGTCAGAAACCGATTTCCATAAATCACAGCGGAGCCGGCGAGATGCTCTGGCTGGAAAAATCCAGCAGCAGAAGGGTGGCCCCGCTGTCGGGGGTTGGACTTACCTCCCCGGGCTGCGCGCACGCACCCGCGCGTGTGCCCGTGTGTATATTCCTGTATTCCGTGTTCCTGGCACTCTGGGGACACACTAAATCTCCCAGCGGCAGCCTGTGCGATCCAGCAGCTCTGCCAGGGGGCTCTGACGCATCTCAGAGTATCTGCAAATACTGGCAGCAACACGGTTCAGCCTAGGAGATGATGCAGTACCGTGGTAAATGGGAGAGAGCATCCTCCTCAAGGCTCCTGGCAGGCATGCCCAGTCCCCTTTCTGCAGAGACTGTCATGCGTTTGGAACAGGCTGCACTGAAGGATTTTTCTGTGTAGCTTGAATGAAATGCTGAAGGTCTGGTCTCTGCTTCCAGCCAGGGCAATTGTATTGGGCCTGACTCTGCCCTCATTTTCACCCCACTCCATCTAAAGCAATCCCCTCCAATGCTGCAGAAGCCTAAAATCATGGACTTGTCGATACCAGGGGACTTGACTCCCTGTTTACACTAAGAGAGTGCTGACACTGCTGCAGTGTGGGATGTCTGGACCAGGGCAGACATCCCTCCTCCCAGGGGAGAAAAGACATGGCAGAGCTCACTTTTTCAACATTCAGCCTTAATACTATCCTGCTTGAAACAGTAAGTTTCAACTTGAACTGAAGCTGCTTTATTTTGATTCCTGTTCACTGGTTAATACACTGCCCCATTAAGCACTGATTCTGACATCAGAGGACAAAACCAAATTTTACTCAGCTGTGAAGCTGAGGACAGCACTACCTTTCCATGAAAGCCAGCAAGGGATGAAACAGCTTTCATGTGCAACACAGAAGGATTAGAAACAACTATGAAAGTTACAGCAAAAGGAGACTTTCTGTTGCTCCCTCCATTTTGTTTTCCAGCTTAGTAATATGTAGCATTCCAATATTACTGATACCAATTATTTCTATGTTCTAGATTCTATATAAAAAGATAACAGTGAGTTTGCAGTATTGGGAAGTAAATCCATTACAAAAATCCAGATATAAGTCCAGTCAGCCCATTGTGAGACCTGACTGTGGTTGTAGAAACTACCAAAAGATTGTCCTCAGTGCAAAGGAAACTATGGTTTTCTATGGTATATCTTTTACTCCCTGCTAATCATTAAGTGTTAGCACTTGTCTTAGGATCTTTTCTCCTCAACTGTGAGAAGGGAGAATGGTCATTTAGAGTCATTCTAAAATTTGGAGAGGTTGGCCTTTTTGTTCCCAGTATGCTAACTGCTTTACATAAGGTATTACAATGTCCACAGCACCAAATTGCAGAACTAGATTTGACAGGAATGGGAGTAGAAGTACATTCTAACTGCTTTACCCTCCAAGGCCAAACTTCAATACCATAATGCAGGCAGAGTCCCACCAAGAGCTCAATAGAGGTGTTTACAACTGTCCTTATCTATCTGCAAATCAAATAAAGAAAATAATTTAAATAAAGGATATTCCCAGGGAAACTGTTCCCACAGTCTTATTTTCTTGCCTCTGGGTTGTTATGATTCGTGCTTTACACACACTTTTGACCTCTTGTGGCCTTGCGGAGTATACTCTGAGTCGTCTTATCAAGTCCTTTCATTATCCCTGTAAACCAGTACTGAATCATGCACCTCTGCTCTCACACAGGGCCAGGACGTGTTTCCCCTCCTGCTGATTGTGAATACCTCAGCAGGCCAGCCATGACAAAGCAGGTCTGCTTCTGCTTGTAGCAATGGCAGGGCCAATTTTCTCAAAGCCTCAGAACAAACCTCAAGACTGTAAAGTAGAATGGAACATTTTGGAGCCAGACCACCTACAGTCTCTGCCTTGAAACCTATGGGCAGAGCTACAGAGTTTCTGACAAGATCATCTCCCACCATAGACGTACACGTGGGCACGAAGAGGAGGGAGCACTCCTAGTTCCCAGTCCCTGTACTTCCTTGCAGCTAGTTTATTTTTCATAGCACTTTGGCAAAATCCAATCAAAATCAGTTTGCCTTGCAGCAGTGCTGGAGCCATTGCTTGAGCACTTCTGCTTTAGGGACCAGTTAATCCTGGTCCCTAACAAAAAATATTTCTCTCTTTTTGCCTCAAAGAGGAGAAACCTTCAAATCTTATTTAAAGCTTTCTCCCCTCCTTCATGCCTTCTGCTTCTAACTGCATGTCACTTAATTCTTTGTATCTTGTGATGTTTTAGTTTGTAGACCTGGCAAAAAACCCTAGCATTTTTATGGAGGTGAAGTCAGCTAAAACACTATCTTCTCCCTTCAGAGGCATGCTAGGTTCTAGGTCACTGTTTTTTTCTATTCTGCTATTATTTTTTCCATCCTGTTCTTCTTAAACAGAGCCCCTTTACTAAGTAGGTTAGGTGCTCTCTGGTTGGTTGGGTTTTTTTGCAGAATGGACACTCTTAAAGGTTTTCTACTGGAAAATCAGATCAGAGTGCAGCAAATTTTAAGGGTTTCTTTGTGCCAATTATACCTTTCCCAGTCATCTTTTGTAGGCCCTGAATAATAGTATATGACTCACCGATGGCCTTTGTTAGATAAATAAAACTGCTTTAGATGAAAATATTGATACACAATCCCATACACACTGACAAATTATTTTCCTTTCTTGATCCAGTCACATACAATAATCATAACACATTCTACCTCACTATTCTGCATTCTTCATACAGAAATCCTTACAGGATGTGTACAGTGCTATTCAGATAATAGAAGAACCACTCTGCCTCCACAGAAGATAAATGCCCTTCTCCCTGCTCCACAGCTTGGCCTTCTAGCTCAAAGCTGTTACAGGTCAGTGAGAGCTCTGGGGCAAAAGGTTCCAGGTTCTAATCACAAAGCTACAGCACTCTATCTATATTTATGGGTGTTGGTTCCTGATCCTGACCACCTCCATGTCAGAAACACTGAAAAATTCAGAAGCAGTGCATATATTTCTAAGGAAAAACACTGAAAAGCAGCATTTCCCAGTAGCCAGTTTGCCAAGCCAAGAAACAAGAGAGGATCAATATTCCAGTCAGCTACTCCATTGTTGGAAGAAATTCATGAAGAGTACCTGGAGTGGTGAAGGGGAGAATTGGAGTCCTTTGCTGATGGAAGCAACTCACAGATTAAAGAACATGAGACCAATATTTTACCGAGTACCCTAGCTGTTTGAGGAGCTGCTCTGTTGAGGGCTTTCACTGGTTTGACTTATATATCACAAGCTGAGGTTCTTTCACCAGAGATTTTCCTCGTATCTCACTTCTAGGAAGCTTTTTCAGAATTTTTTACCTTTTTTTAATGACTAGGTTAAATCATTCCTCCTTAAAATATTCTCCTGCAACTTTTGCAACTTCGAATGGTTGTTTCTTTCTTAGATATTTCTCTGTAGCTTTGAATTTTTCTCTTTCAATAGTTTGAAAACTATTATTTTGTCCTCCTGAGAGCTGACACAGTGGAGGTGTGAGGGTGGATTGTAGATAAAGAGCTTTACATTTCTTTTGTGACAAGTTGGGCTGTTAAAGAGCTCAACAATAGCGCCCACATAATGTAACCAGCCCAGAGGTTGTTTCTACATTACACCAGTTTCCAATGTATTGTCTCAGTTTGGCAGTGGAAGCTTCAAGTGGGTGTAAAAATGGCCCTGCGTGTAGCAACTGTGTCAAGACCAGGATACTCCTTGTGGTGCCCAGTGCAGAATCACGAGGTGACTTTCTGCTCATTCTCTTTCATTGTCACAGCCTGTGCGCAGTCGGTGGATGCACAGATGGTGCAGAGGAGTGATGAGAGGACAAATCTTACTCAGGCAAACCATGCATGCTTCTCTCTCCCCTTCTGTCTTTGAAAAAAAAAAAAGCTTCCTCTGCTTTGAATTCCCTCCACTTTGTCTATTTGTATAATAAAATATCTTCATACTCTAGAAATAATAAGTAATAAATTACAGTATTTGCATCTGTGAATATGTCTGGCAAGTTTCCTTGAGATAAATGTAATCTCAGATGTACATAACATTTTGCTTGGCTGCTGGATAGTGAAGTGTGTCCTGGCAGTAAGGTCAGTCAGAAAGTAAAATAGTTTCCTTAATTAGGTAATTTACAGTCAATGTGTAGTCATCTGCCATATGGGCTAGAGTTATGGTTACACCATAGCAAACTTAGAACAACATTGTCCAATATGAAATCCCTCTGCTATATAAATATTGCTTGCAATGATTTGTGTCCTGTCTGTATTGATTTCCTTGCTTGAGCTAAACTGCATTGAAAAGGGGCCTTTTCCGTTTGGTTAGAATAGTTAGTATCACCACAGAACAGTTGCTGATCATGCAGCAGGCAATACAAAATTTCATTACACAGCTTCATGAATTACACTAGAAAACTTTGGCTTTGTTTTCACAAGGAGAAAGAATATCCACTTCTGAGTGCTCATGCACATAGCAATGGCAACTGTCTTCCTCATGCTAGAGCTTCTCATGAAGAGGCTTAAAGCAGAGAATAATTTCTGGTAGGAATATGCTTACTAATGAAAGTATGCAGGAGTCTGAGATGAAGGATAGTTGTGTATTTAAGGCCAATAGCACAGTACTTGGAAACATGCAGCCTCAAAGATGTCTCCTGTATGTCTCTCTAGGTGGTTGCTTTCTTCACTATCCTTTCACTTTCTATCTGTAGGTACAACAGCATTTCCATTATCTGCTTAGCTTGAGGCTAAGAATGAACTCGCCATTAACACAGACAATTTTTTTTAAGTCTCTACATAATGCCATAAAAATAATAATGACAATTTTACACCATTAAATCTCCTTTCAGAGGATGTCCTCAAAGCTGAATACTCAAACAGTAAAACCCAGCACAATTAGAGTTGCCTTGAAAAGCTTAATCTCGTATGTATATGTATGGGCCTATTACTAAAGTCTTGGCAAGATGCTTTCAGTGGCTGTCTATGGGATTCTGTCAAAACCTCCTATTTTTTTCATAATAAACCACAAAAGAAAAAAATAATTCAACCACCTATACACTCTTTACCTGTGCCCAGCTAGCTGTAGAATCAGAGCAGACCTCATCTTGCTCAAAATGAGGCCCAGATGTAGTCCTTGGAAGGTAGGAGTCTCTGTTGGCTGTCTTTGCCTCCAGTCTCATTTCCTTTGAGGACAGGTTTTACTTTTAGAGTCCGCCATCAGACACTGCAGAAAACTTTCCTATCAGCACTTGCCAGGTGTGCTGCAGTGTTTCCTGTCATGTTTGTTTGTAAATGGCTTGTTCTGTATCTGAAAGCAACTGAGATCAGTCAAATTCTTGATCAGTCAGCAGTATAACTTGTTGAAAATAACTATAATCACTTAACCAGATGTATTTGTCAGTATACACCATTGAAGTCATGTATATTTATGTGTGTAGCATGTCTCTGGTTGGTGCAATATGACTGAGCAGTTCTACTGTAGCAGGGCCACTCAAACACACTCAGTTCTAGGTGAAGTCAGCCACTCTGATGGTGTTGCAGCCCACCTCTTTTTCTCTTGTTCAGGCAGACTTTTATTTAGAGATGCAGTAATTCAAGCTTCAGTGCTTGCTGACCAAATCTTTAGTCATGCTGCAGTTGTAGATGGTTCTTCAGGAGCAATACCTCAGTCCTGCTTAGTGAATCGTCACCTTTTCCACATTGTATTTTCTCCTTGCTTCTCCTTTCCTTGTGAACCAGGCAAACCCAAGACCTGAAATAAGTATTTCACATCTCTCATGCTTTGCTCTGGTAGCTGATCATTTTGCCCCAGCCTTAAACATGAAGACTATGGAATCTATGACTATGATGGTCCTTGTTGAACCTTCTTCTCTTCTTTGTTCTCTCAAATAGCCTCAAGTTGAGCCAGGGCTGGTTTAAAATGGATATTGGGAAAAATTTCTTCACTGAAAGGGTTATCACTTGAGAAGTGGTTGAGTCACCATCCATGGAGGTATTTAAAGAATATGTAGATTGTAGACACTTAGGTTTAATGGTGGGCTTGGCAGTGTCAGGTTAATCATTGGGCTTGAGATCTTAAATGTGTTTTCCAACCTAGATGATTCTATGACTGTGATTCTTTGTCTTCTGAACCCTGTCTCCATTTGACTCTTTGAGACACCATCTTCTCATCAAGGTCTCCCTTTGCATCATCCACTCCCTGAAGCCCAGTACAAGTCCCTAGGACACGAGCACTCATGTTGCCATTCTCAGCTGCTGACAGTCATGAAGAGCAGGTTCAGAAAGAAATCCCCATACACTCCAGTAGGTCTGTGCTGGATTACACTCTGTACTGAATAAATCTCTTCTCAGATTTTAGTTGCCAGCTATGACTGGGCTAAAGATGTGAAATAATTTTTTTAAAGAATGTTCATAACAGTCAAAAACCAGAACATTTTAATTCAGCTTGTAAAAAGGGAAACATCAAAGTCAAGGACAGCCTGACAAAATCCTTCAAAAGCAGAGAGGCCTTAGGTCTTTTCAAGAAAAGATTTGCTAAAAAGGTTTTTTTTAAACTGAGCAAAACATTCTTCTGCTCTCATTTATAGAAGGAATTGGACTGCTTGAACTGCCTTCCCTGTGTTTCTTGCCCCTTCTCTCCTCAGTAGAATGACTCTACCTTGAGGCTAAATTCAGCATGGATATTTTATTTACTGCTCAGACAATTCAGGATTTTATGATGGAATCCCCAGCACTTCTAGTACAGTACTTCTAGTACAGAAAGTGTTTTGTGTACACAGTGCACCTGCAGTGACAGGAAGACAGAGGGATGTGTTATCACCTCAAGGATTTGATGAGTAACAATGATGCTTTAACAATGTAATTTTATTTTAGATTATAAATACTGGTTTCCTAGCCTTTAGGATGCATTTGTATACGCACCAGCTGTTTGTTACATTCTTGATGGCTAGGCCTTGACATGATTTGAATGACAACTGAGATTATCTCATGATCTCTTGACTCCAAGATTTTAATAAAAACAGCAAACAAATAAAAACTGAGATTCAGCCATGGGAAACAGCAAAACAGCTCTTATCACTGTGGTATACCAGTCCCATGGGTATGCTTGCAGAGTGCAGACTCTCAAGAACTAATTAGCGACAGATCAGAGCTCCTCAGGTCAGACCATTCTGTGTCATTGACATCATTACTTGCAAAAACTTGGAAAACCATATTGATCCTGAAGGCATCTTCAGTGATCCCACATGTTCCAAGCAATGTGCTTTATGATTTCAGTTCTGCTGCATTCCTGACCTTTCTTCCCCTCCTGGAGGGTTTGGATTAGATGCTAAATATATCAAACACTGTTAATTGTCTGAAACTTTAAGACAACCATGAGAGCAGGCTAAACTTTAGCTGCTCCAAACAGAAACTTTTCTAAAGCAAACCTTAAAGTGGAAAATGCGTGTTGATAACTCAGGGTAGATTAGACCACAAGACTCGGATAGACACTCCTAAATCAAGTGTTTCAGGGTTTTGCAATATACATGCATTATCCAGAACAGAAATTGCAGGTGGAATACGGTTCCACAATCCAGAATAACTTTGTGCATAGAAAAAATGTAATCTCAGAATTCAGAATACAAAAAAAAAAAAAGATGTAAGTAATCTAAACATGTTACTTCATGGGCAATGCATAGAGTTGAGATGGAATGTTCTGGCCTCTTGTGTATTTTCCAAAACGTTGTCTTTATTAAAATTTACACAAAAATGCATCAAATGTGAAAAAACACAGTACACTAAGAAAAGATAACATATTGGTAGTGAAAACCAGTATTCTATAGAAAACACCAGCAATATTAAGAGATTCTTCTGAAGTCCAATGAAGATGAGGGGGGTTTTTGTTGGAAAATTGGTCCATCCTTTGAACAATCATGGTTCTAATGAGTAGATCTTTTGCTTGTAATCACAGATGAATATAAGAAAACTTACCTTCAACAAGTTACATAACTAAATAAAGAAAGGCCCTATTGGCAGCAACCTCCTATACATCCATGAGAAGGTAATAGAGACCTACAGCAGGGAGGGGAGCATAAAACCATGTCTGTATTTTTATAATTATTTGTGGCATTTTCCTTGACTTTCCTAAATAAAGTCATTAAATGTTTGTTTTGAAATGGGTGCATTAAAAAAAAAAAAAGGAAGCAAATTAGGAGGATAAATTCTGATGATATACCTTCTATGTAAACAGTTCATCAGTGTGATCTATATAACAACTTCTCACCGATTTTGTGATGTAGAATAGAATTTGCTTTGCCTGCATTGTCTGTAAGCTGTATATCAGGGTATTCACGATCTTTATTTTTCCAAGGAAAGTCATAGCTGAAACTCAAGGACAAATGTGTCATTTGACCTGCATCAGCAGTTCAGATTCGTGGCCTTTACATTCTAAACTCTCCTTGTTTCAAAGCAAGAAACCAGTCTGAGATGGCTGGTAAAGCAGGACATTTTCTTCTTAATTTCAGGCAGCTAATACTTTGTTATGCCCTGAATATCTTCTTATCCAGTCGTAGCTCACCTCTGTCACAAAAAGGGGAGGGGGGAAAGATGCTATTTCTGTTCAGGAACCAGCTCACATTTTTCAAGCCTGTCATTGTGCTCTCTGAGTCCATACTGCATTTTAGAGAAGAAATCAGATATTTCACTAAAAAAGAAATTTTCACCTTTCTTTAGAGCTACTCTGCCCTCTGGTAGAAATGAAGGCCTGACACTGTCACAAAAAGACTGCTACTTTGTAAAACGGGGTTTCTTCTCTTCAGTATGAGGAAGGAATCGAGTTCTTCCTCTGCCAGCCAAGCTACAAAATCAAAAAGGTGGCAATCATCCTTGCTCACCTCATGTCACGGGGTATCCAGTCCTTTTCAGCTTATGTAACATAGTAGGAAAAACCTCACTCAACCAATGTAGGGGAATTACCTTCCCCTTTGCATCTGTTGCACTTCCTGCCAGGTGTAGAGCAGAATTTTCAGAGGACCAGAGCATCCACAGCACTTGCTGGCCCCCTGTAGATTTGTGTGTCCCAGGTCTCTTAAAAATTGTATCTTAAATTAATGTGTTTTTTTACTGGCTAGGTGTTAAACAGCCTTCTCTATTATCAGAACTTAAGGGCAGTCTTGCACATCATTCAGAGAAGATCTGGGGGCTGCTATGCAAAGGGTGTGAAGAGCTGTGCCCACTTGCTCTTGAGCTGCAACAGGTTCATGAAAAGACAAGAAGTATGGCTCTGCTCTTACTGAAAGAGGGGGGACAGAAGCATGCACAGTCTTACAAGATCACACCTCTACACTATAATCCAAATACTGAGCATGCAGAAGGACAGGTGATAACTATCTTTCCTTAAGGAAAGGATCTGGACAGAATATAAGGCAAACACAGATAGAGAAACATTTTGTAACTAAATCCTCACCAACAGGGGCTTTGAACTAGGTTGGTCCAAACAATGGGAAATCTGCTGGGGAGCAGTATTCTGGAATTTTTTCTGTTGTTCCTCCCTCCTTTTTCATATAACTGCCCTCTAGCAGTGCTCTCACTGGAACACTTAACAGGAAGGGAAACTAAACTTTGGGACTACTATGTTCAAAACATAATGTGAGGTGGCTATCAAAGCACCTCAGCTGATAGGGACAGCAGGGGATCACCTGCCTTGAATTGACACAAAGGACAAGAACATTTCATTATTTGCTGGAGACAAATAGCTGGCTCTTGGATGTCAGCCGTGTGCATACATCCTCTCAGGCTCGAGAAGTGAGATCAAAGGATGACAGGATACCTTGAGAAAGCCAAGTAGAGTGTTGACAGCTGTACAAGATGTGCTAACAGAAAGTATGCCACAAACCAGGCCTTCTCTGCAGCCTCATCACCAGAGAAACTGAAATAATAACCGTTAAACCAAAGTTCTTGAAGCATCTTCTGAGGGCAAACACCTCTAAAAAGCACACAAGAGAACTGCAGTTCTGAAAACCACACATATCTAAAACTGGTTTTATCTCTTTAAGGGAAGGTAGAAATACAGAGTTTTGATTGAGATTTGTTTTGCATTTACAAGATAGAGAAAGTCATCTGCTGGTGGTGTTGTGATGTTTTAGATTGTATGCTTCTGACTTGTAAAGTCAGGATTTATCCACAAATGGCAGGAAAAAGTATATTGTATGAAGCAGTGGGTTGAGTAACCAAATTTAATGTGTTTTGGTCAACATTGCCTGAGGAATACTGAAAACATCCCAGTGACCACTTGCTCAGTGATCACAAAGCACACACACATGAGATGTGCAAAAATTGGTTGCTCATGTTATGGTCCAATCCCAGCTAAGAAGGGTACAGATAATACTCAGCTGTGTTCCCACAGAAGCTTTATTGAGTATGTAGATACAGGAGTCACCATGTTTGAAAGCAGAAGGATCAGATCTTCTCCATGGCAATTTCCTACTTTGACATAAGTTCTAGAGAGCTGGGAACAGTTGTTCTGTTGAACCGAGACACACATACCTTGTATTTCCAGAGGTCACTTTACAGTGGAAATATCAGCATTTGCTTTAGAGGTTCTTTTTTACATTTTCAACTGATGACTGTAATGAGAGAAGCTCTAACCATTCAATAAAGGTCCATCTTACTGCAACAGTCTCTCTACCTAGTCCTCCAGGTACATAATAGGACTCTGGAATCAAAAGAGCTATGTGGCTTGATGTGAGCTCTTCTACATAAGTACTTCATGCCTCTCACTTTGAGGTCTTATTTAGGGTAGAATACAGGAGGTGTGGAACATACGGACAACACTCTAGGTCAATCCCTTACCAGTCAAAATATTCCCGTAACCCTACAATAATAAAATTATTCTTATAATTAAATGGCTAATTTAAGGAATGTACAGTATTTACACCCATTAAATCTAGACAGAAGATACTAAGTAATAGGGGAACAAAGTAAAGGAAATTAAGACAGAGCTAGGATGAGATTCCTAGGCTCTTTCCTGAGAACACACTGAGGAGTGTGTTCATTTCCTCTGATACCCTGAGGAGCAAATGCCATTCAGGGCCTACCTAGATGTTCTCTTGATAACCTCTCTCCAGGGATTCTTATCTCTAGCACAAGGCTAGAGCAGTTCTACCTTGTTCTACACAAAGTCGATAGCATCTTACAAAAGAAGCTCATAGCAGCTGATGGGCCTGTCTCCCAGCTTAGCAGGAGTCAGTTACACCCTCTTATTATTCCTATTGCAGGAATTAGTCAAAGGAGTTGTCTTAGACTACTCATCTGAGACCCATTCATGTAGAGTGCTTTCTGTAACATCAGAACAAGCCAAATTCAGCCCTCAGGCCAGTTTACTTCAGTTCAGGTATCAGCTGAGACCAACTAATGTCTGTTCCTAAATTTTCATCCTCAAGACCGGGAAAGCTGATATCCAGAAGGATTTTGCTCAGACTATCATTCATGGTGTCCAGGATAAGGCCCTCCATGAGTGACCGGTTTTCAGTAAAGCCAGAGGCTGTCAGTTCAGCAGATGATTGCTTAGCAGACTCACGAACAAACGCTGGAGAGCTCGTGAGGGGGGCATGAGCCATATCACTGGATTCTGTATTGAGCAATTCCCGAGGCGAATCAAAGAGCGGGTTTTTAAGGGGTGTGCTGTTAAAACCCAGTAAGTCCTGGTTGTCCTGGAGGGGTGTGAATGGCAACTGAAGGGTTTTCACTGGACTGAAGTCCAGCTCGTGACTTCCCTTGGCTAAGGAAGCAGACTTCCAGAGGTCAAGGCCCTCTAGTGAGGGGGTAGTAGTGGCTGAGACTTTGCTGGGAGTGGAAGAAACTGGCAGTTTGCTGAAGATCTCCTTGACTGGTGTTTTAAAGGCTCCTTCTTCTCCCTGCGAGCAGCTGAGCTGTGATACATGTTCAAGAGGCTGGCTTTCCAGTGGGAAGGAACGGTCTGCCCCTAACCAAAAACGGTCAAAGCTGTTGCTTTCTGGCAAAACAAGGACAGGTTCTTCTGAGCAAGGCAGTGCTAGACGTTGTTTCCTTCTGGATCTGCCCATTTCCCGCCTTTCCCGCCTCTTTATAACTAATGAGTCAGAAACAGCCCTAGGTGGAGACTTCAGTGTGGTGAACTGTTTCTTCTCCTTTGTGGATGAGTCTGGGAGGAATAAGCCTGGCTCTTCCTTTACTGTTATGGTTGAGGCAAATGGGGACAGCCAGTCATCCAGTTGACAGCCTTCTTCCTCCTTTATACAGACACCTTCAGGGAAAGAAGCCAATTCCTCACCAGGCTGGGAGCTGTTCTCCTTTAGGGAATGGGCTGGGGAGAATAAACCCTCATCACATTGACCCTCTTCCTTGACAGCAGACGTGGGTAAAGAGGGTGACTCTTCTGTAGATAGTGACATCTATAAAGAAACACAAGTGACGTGCAGTCAGCAAGCAAGGATCTAACCTACCCAAAATGCAAATAATAGTAGAAAGAAGAAAAGAAAGATTGGCACTTAAGGTCAGCAGAAAAAGGTAAGAGGAAGATCTTCAGAAAGCAGTAACTGTAACAACAGATACAGATTGATCTTGGTAAAGTCAACAGAAAGAAGCCTACAGATCACATGGGAAGGATTTTAGCTAAGAGACTGAAAGTCATTCCCTTCACAACACTTCATCTATAAGCAACTTCTAGGAGTACAGGCAGAAGGGGAGCCAAATGTTTGTGGAAAAAATGTAACTCCTTTGATTTCTTATACTGTCTATATGTGAATAACAAAATGAATGAGGACAGCTTTCTCAGAAACCAAGGAAAAGGAAACGAAAAAAATGAGGTTATCAAAAGAAAAAGAGCACAGGAGAAAGATAAATCATAGCAGGGAAGGACATAAAGCAGCAGTCACACAAAGGAAAACAGAATTATGGTTAGATCTGATAGAAGAAGCTAAAGCTTTACAATGTCTAAGCATACAAGAGCAGTCAGTAAGATGCCAAGAGAAAGACCTGTTTAATAGCTGTTTTTCTTGAGCTCAGAATAACTGGGAACTTCACTGAATTAGTAAATATCAGATACAGAAAACCTCTGGGAAGAAACTACATGAAATAAGTACTCTTTCAGAAAAAGTTCTTTATGTTACATGTCATTAGTGCTATCAAAAATATGAATGTTTTAGGATCAGAAAAAAGACACTTCTCTCATTCTTTTTTCTTCACATCCAAGCGGTAGAGAAAAATTGTTTTAACCAATCGATAAGCCTCTTCCTCTGACAAATTATAGAAACATCCTTATAGCAAGTAAACTAGCAGGTAATAGTCAGCCTAGAGGTAGTAAAGGATAGTAAGGATTAGTATGAACTTGGGAGTTTCAGAGCACCTAGAAAAGATGCACAAAGGAACCATATGAAGAACAGGTCTATTGGAGGCAAGAGATATAGAAAAAATCTAAACAAAACCCCCACAAAAACTCAAAACAAACAAATGAAACCCCAAAACAACACCCACCCACCCACCCACCCTTCCTACCCTATCCCCTAACCCCCCACCCAAAAAAAAAAGCCACACAAAACCCCTTGGAAAACAAGAAACCGACCTTTGGAGCAATGCGCACACGCTTATTACTCTGCAAAGTCTCTGAGCTGTTAAGGGATGCTCCCTGTGCCATGGATAGAGGAACCTTCATAGAAGACTGCAAGACAAGAGGCTGACTCAAAGGAAACTGGATTGGAACTAGGTAGGAGTTGACACGGGGAAGCAAAGGCTTCATCTTTCGGCCTGAAAGGGAGAAGAATGGACTCACTAGCCTCTTATCCTCTACAACTACCTCTTGAAACCCAGGCATCTAACAGAGTCCTTCTAAACCCCCCAAAATAAACATTCAATCAGATAGGCTCACCTGCCTTCTCTGCTAACTTCGAGAATACAAATATGAAGCCAGAAGGCCTCATTAACAAGAAAATAGTCCTTCATACAGATCCTAGCCCTCAAGCTAGGGCTCTCACTCTGTTTGCATACCCAATCCTCACCATCTCCCCATCACATCCTCTCTCAGACACAGCAATACTGCCTTCAATTTCAGACCTGACAATAGGAAGCATAAAAGCTGGCAAACCTGGATAACAAATTCAACTTGTATTCCTAAAGGAATCTGAGAGAGTGTCCCAGATTACTGAATTGATTCTCTTTGGCCTAGGCTGATGTAGATGCTTACGTGAATTCTGGGGTTCACTTTTGCTTCCCACGTTCTTCAGGGTATCTGGAAGACGACTCTTTTGCTGCTGCAGCCATTGTGAAACAAGAAAGAGAAGGAGAAAAGAAAGAGATTAAAACAAAGAATCCATATTTATTCTTCTGCCTCATTTAGAACTATGAAACCAGAATTTTGGGCTGCGCTAATGTAGAGAGAGCAGCTGTTAGCACCCAGCCCTCATGTCAGCTCTAGGTCCCTGCAGCTTGCTGTTTTGCAGCCATATCATCCCAAAGCCAGCTGCCAACCAAAGGCTGTGTAGAAAAAGACAGATCTGCTTCAGCTGCAGACTCTGCTACAGAAGGGACCTGGTTTTGGCATCCTCAGAGCCTGAGGAACAGTGATTAGGATGGCTTTATTGTATATGGGATCTCTGTACAAACCATAGACCAGGTAGATGTTCAAATGGCATAGTAGAAGCAACAGAAGAATCAGAATTCTGAGCAGATGGAAGGAAGGCCAGGGTTGTAGCTGCAAGAGAAGTGTTTGACCGGACACTTGCAAATCCATCACTGTTAAAACTGCTGAATGCAAGAGCGACAGCAAACAGATTCATCCTTCTGAGAGTCACAATGCAGCTGGGTTCCAAAATGAAAAAGCGACACAGAGAAACCTTATTCTCTCTGGATCTGAGCCCCAGAACAGATTGGGACTGCTGCCATGGAGATGATAATTTTGCCAGAAGTCTCTGGGCTTGTTCTCTGAAGCCTATTGGTCACCATTGCAGCCTACTTCAGCAGTAGAATTCCAAAGTTGCTCAAAGCTGTACAGCTCTGCCAGCTAGAGAGAGCATATCATCTGAAGGCAGTTAACCTTTGGCTCAACCTCTTTCCCCAAAAAGGGTGTGCATGGAGCTATATGATTAGGTGCAACAGCGACCCAGTCCCCCTTCCCAAGCCTCTTGTCCTTTCCTTCAGTGACTAGCAAGAAGAGAATGGAAGGTCAAGCCCCAAGCCAGAGGGTAATTCTTACTGATTCAGAGCATTCAGGCGATGTTGGTGACCCCAATTCCAGCGGCTGGTGGCAGAAGGCATTGAGAGGGAAAAAAATTAAGATGAAGTTATCAGCCAAAGAGGGGGACAAATGGGTCATTTTAAACTTGCACAATCTGAGTGAACAAAAGTCAACCTGGCTACCCAGCAGAAAATACAGAGGAGTCTAAACACACCTATACCAGACTCACAAGCTCTATTTCCCCCACAAAATGATACTTCCTAAAACACCTAGTTGGGATAGGAGAATTCCATCCTATGACTGACTTATCAAACAGCGTAGGAACATCTGGTTGGCTTCAGTGGAAAGCTTCTCATTAGGAATTTGAATCAGGTCCATGGAAAGAAGTTGAACAAGCTGACTATTACATTTGGCACAGCATCTGAAGAATGAACACGTCTCACAAAAGCTCCAGGTCAAAAGCACAACCACAGCACCTTTTCTTTCAAATGCAGAGCTTGTCTATTTGTCAAGAGAAGTGACTGAATACAGCTTCTACGAAAAGGCTGATGTCAAAGCAGCTCAACTTTACAGTTAAAATAAGGTGCATCTGCCTAGAAACTGGATAACCTGTCCTATTTTCTTTGCATGAGGCAACTCACCTTAAATACCTGGTCCAATGTTAGGCAACGGTTTGCATCAGGGTGAATAGTCCAGAACGAGATTTTACCATTAGCAGATGTCTCACGGACAAACATATCATGAAGGGACAGGTTGTGCCGAATGGAGTTCTGGGGAGAAAGAAGTGAGGGGAGTTGAAAAGCAGTAGTTTTGTTATCAGCACAGCAAGGGCTACCTCAAACATGACTGCCTTAGCAGAGGGATTAGATTCCAAAGGGTGGGCAACACTGAACTTTCATATTCACAGCATACCCAGCCAACCCTGTCATCAGTCTCTTATTCTATTTACTCTTGAATTCCTTATTCTTAATCCAGTGATCAAATATACCATCATCTTGCTCAAGTGGAATGAGACAAGGGACACAAGAAGTGGGACAGTGAACATCTGGAATGGGAGGGTATTTGGGGTGGGATGTTTAAATGAATTTCCATCTTGCTCTGCAGGCTGGGGAACAACTTTTCATTTTGATCCAGAAGGCTTATAACATCACCCTGTGGCCCACAGCAACTTGAAGGCCTGCTTGTTACCTTCCAACCTGGCTTAGCTACATGTTTAAAATAAGGGAAATGATCCTCAATCCAGGTATAGATGTCCTTCAGAGTCATACGCTTCTTCTCAGTGCTGTTGATGGCAAACTGGATCATGGCCATGTAGGAGTAAGGAGGTCGTTCTGACACTGAATCCTGCCATGATGAGGAGGCAGCAGCAGTAGGAATAGCAGCAGCAGCTTCTTCTTCAGTCTGAGAGACAGAAGGAGCAACACATGAATGATCCCTGGATCCTCCATGTTCTATTCAAATCAGCAAAGGCCAAACCCAGGTTACTTAGAGACAGTGATGCCTAGTTCTTGGAAGTCTTCTGATACACATAGATTACTTCCTCACCAAAAATTTTACCACATGCTGTTGTCTTCTCCTACTTACCTTGATTCTTTCCTGCAGAGGCATTTGGTTCTCTTTCTCTGTGTCTTGCTTCACAGAAGAGGGATTAAGCCCATCAGATCTCATCTTCCCCAGCCACTGGATGTTAGTGAGACTATTGTCCAACACAGAGCTCATTGTCTCACCACTGCCTGTTGGGATAACAAGCCCATATTACAGAGTCACAGAATCATTTATGTTAAAAAAAAGACCTCCAATATCACTAAGTCCTTTCTTTGACCAAACACCACCTTGGCAACCAGGCTATCGCACTAAGTGTTGCGATCAGTTGTTTCTTGAACACCTTCAGGGATGGTGACTCTACCATCTCCCTGGGGAGCTTGTTCCAATACTTGACAACCCTTTTAGCGAAGCAATTCTTGATGATGTCCAACCTGAACCTCCCCTGGCACAGATTAAGGCTATGGTCTCATCCTGTCACTAGTTGCCTGAGAGAAGAGGCCAATTCCCACCTGGCTACAACCTCTTTCAGGTAGCTGTAGGGAGCAATAAGGTCTCCCTTGAGCCTCCTCTTCTCCAGGCTGAACAAACCCAGTTCCCTCAGCTGCTCCTCATAGGACTTACTCTCTAGACCCTTCACCAGATTTGTGTCCCTTCTCTGGACACACTCCAGCACCTCAGTATCTTCCTTGTAGTGAGTGGCCCAGAACTGGACACAGCACTCGAGGTGTGGCCTCACCAGTGCCAAATACAAGTGGTGCTGCTGGACACACTACTTCTGATACAGGCCAGGATGCCAATGACCTTCTTGACCTCCTAGGCACACTGCTGGCTCATGTTCAGCCACTGTTGACCAGCACCCCCAGGTCCTTTTCTTGCTGGGCAGTTTTCCAGCCACTCTTTGCCCAGCCTGTAGCACTGCATGGGATTGTGACCAAAGTGCAGAACCCCTTATCATAGTTCTGCTTACTTACAAGTAACCCTCTTAACCCTTCATCTCAACTGTCAAAAGGAAGGCATTTAGTCGCACTAGTAAAAGATGGTATTGCAATGCTAATGTTGTGGAAGGAATTACTCTTGAATTCCTGATTTCATGTGAAGTTGCCTATTTCTGAAAAGAGCTGCAGCCTTAAAAATGAACACTCAAACCAGACTACTGCTTTCAACCAAAAAGGGCCAATGTTGATCTAGTGCTTCAAGAACATCGTTAGCTAAAGGATGAATTTAGTAAGCAGAAGCCAAGGATGGTGATGACAGACTCTAACCGAAAGACATAGCACAAGATCCAAGTCAGAAGCTCGGATGTCTTCCACTAAAAACATATGCACTGTGATCCTTCAGATTTCACTAGATATCCAAAGCTATGTAGATTATTAGAATTAAATCTATAGGCTACTTTGTAATTAACAAAATATTATTTGTTACTCCGTACCGAGATTCAAGCACTACACTCATTGGCCCACTTCACATCTCTTTGTCTGTCAGGACAAAAAGCCAACCAACCAACCAAAAGAAACCTGGTAAAGACTACATACTGTTGCTCTCCTGTTCCTGTCCACCTGCAGAATCAACTCCTGAATGCCAGAGCGCTGTCCTGCCTGCAAGACCAGGTGTCTGTGTAACATTCTTCTCCCTTTCTGGACCATCTGCAGCCTTGACTGCTGCACTGGCTTTCTTCTCTGATGGGAGATGCTGTGCTGGTGCTGGACCTGCTGAACGGGACGTGCCCCCACTGCTAATGAGGATGAACTTGTTGGGTCCATTGTTGCCACATTCTTTTCCTTTTGCCGTCAATGCCTCTATGATGCTCTGGATATCAGCATTTGTAGGGATGGCCACCACTTGTGTGTTGGGCATTGTAGGATGGTCAATTATCTTTATTCCTGCTGGGAATTTCTGCAGGCCACCGTCCCTTTTGTCTCTGGGTTGTCTGTTGTGTTGGTCCTCCTGGCTGTGCTCCTGCTTGGGAGTCTTTTCATCCTGACCTCTGTTCTCATCTCTTGCTGAAGTGCTGGATTCATCCTTCTGTGGGAGGGTCAGTTTCCGTCTTTTGAGAATTAAGGGCCTGCGAGGGCTGGTCCTCATTATTGATCTATACTGTCACTCTCCATTGAAAGGGAGAGGAACAAATCCTGTAAAACAAAAGATACAACATAAAGAGTGCAGCAAATCATTGCAGGTCTCCCACAGAGCACACATTCTCAGCAATTGCTACAAAGCCAAAAACACAAAAGGAAAATAAAATCGAAAGTGTTTAATAAGGTTGGCAAGGCTACTGAAAAGTCATACTGTACCTCTTTTACTTGCACCTTGTGTAAGCAGGACAGGAGGGATATTTGCACAGTAGATAATTTGCATCACAAAGTACATAATAATGAGGAAAGTGTGTATTTGTACTTTATAGAAATTCTTAGTTATAATGTGACTTGGCCAGCATCAGCCAGCAAGTAGGAATGGATAGAAAGTAGAACATAGAAGTAGTAGTCCTGATTCTTATAGAAGATTACACAACCTGAGTGAAAAGGGAATTTACAGATGGTTTAAGATCTGGGAAGAAGAGATTATCCCAAACACTACAAAAGCACACAATAAATGCAGCAGAAGTTAAGTGCTTTAAAATAGATGTAAAGTAAATGTTCTAGTCATTCTTTCTGTAGATTTGTCAAGAACCAGATAAATTCCTCATTGGGCAGTATACATTTAAATGTCAAACTTTTTGATAATAGGCAATTTAGACTATAAAGCAGGAAGCAGAGGAAATAAAATTCATAGATACTGTTTCCAGGACAAGATGCAGTGAGAATACTGCTTATAATGCCACCAAGAATTTGGTGGAACCTGTGTCTTACAGCAAACTATAACAGAACGAGAACACGCAAATTGTACTTCTTGTTTATCATTAGGGATGCCAGGCATCTCTAATGTAAAAAAGGAGGCCTTTTACATTGCTAGATTGGACTGGGCCAGCAGGTAAACGAGAAAATTCTCAGTAAGAGTCACCTACATTGATACAAAGCAGAGAGTCCAGCGAAAAACAAACCGAGCTGCCCTACGCGCAGGGATCAGACAGCCGGGATCGGGGGCTGCCCGGCAGCGACGGGAACGCTCCGCACTCCATGGGGGTCATGGCACACAGGCACACGTACGGCCCTTTGCGATCTGCTCCACCCCCTTAAAGAGACATCCCGGTTAGACAGCGCCCAAAGAGGAGCCTTTAGCCAGCCTCCAACAGACCGCGTTCCCTACAGGAGCGCGCCACTTCCCAAACAGGCCTGGAGCTGCTGCCACCAGTAAAGGCCCAGGAGCATCCCTGTGCACACGAGGCCTCAGGGGTGGTGAGAAGGGTAGTGCTAAAGAGCTCTCTGCTCCTCCTCCGCCCGCTCCAGCCCCAGCGCCGCCGCGCCCGCCGTTAAGTCCGCCTGCCCCGCCGGGGTCCCTCCGCCCCAGGCCGGGCCTAAGCGCTTCCCTCTCCCGGGCGCCCTACGGTCTTAGCGCGGCCGCCCAGGGTTGCCGATCCTTGCAGGGGGATACTGGAGGCGGGGCAGGCGCAGGTGGAGACTCACCAGCTCCCGGGCGGACAGGACCGATGGAAGTGGCGGCGGCTCCGGCACTCCCGGGGCGGCCCCGGTTTGAATTTGGCGCCCGGCGGGGCCCCGGCCTGGTCACGTGCCGGCCTGGGCCAGTGAGCGGCGGCGGGGGCGGGGTGTCCCGGCGGCGGCCAATGGGCCGGGGCGGGGGCGGGGCAGTGGCAGCGCGGGCCAATGGGCGGCGGCGGCGGGGGATACGGCTGGGCCGGCGGGACGCGCCGGGCTGGAGCGGTCGGGCTGGGGTCGGTCCCAGCGCCCGTCCCGTCCCGTCCCGTCCCGTCCCGTCCCGTCCCGTCCCGTCC